AACATGGGGAAACACGTATGTCGTTTTATTTTAAGTGATAGAGTACATGTGTTCGTTATTAATTTTGAGTGCAATATTAAGTTTTTGTGATTTGTTTGTAAGAGTTATTTTCCTTTTAAATTTGTGTGCACTATGAATCTGCTTACTTCACAATAATATGTTATAACCGTCTTAGACTTTTTCTGTTTGTTAGATATTCGGATATGCACTGTAGGGTTACTACAGTCATTAGTATTTTCTGTTTAGAGAATACGAATAAGGAAATGAACAATAAAAAAACAATATCCAAATTAGTATTCTCTATATAGGGAATACTAATGAGATTTAAAGAATACTAATGAGCTGTTGTATTCATTATTTTCCCTCCATCTGCGCATTTTCTTAGAGCCTTAAAGAAACCCATACCAATTCATGATTTGTGGGCACTATGAGATTAAGTACATCAAAATACTGGACACTGATTGGTTGAGTGGCTTTTGCCATGTTCTAAATAATGATAAACAATTTTCATTTGGATTGGCTCTTCAGGTTCATGTCACCTTTTAAAGATACAATAATTAATCCTTTAATGTCTTTGAAGAAAAGAAATACTTTGGATTAAATCTTTTACGTCCGTTTCAAACATCGAACCTTGCATGTGCTAAATGTTTTTAAAACAAATGATAATGAGGAATTTTACATTATTTTCTTTTGTCTTTGAACGTGTAAAGTTCTACATTTATAATAAGGCTCCGTTTACACTATACCGAAATGGTATCGTTACAGGTTAAATTTTCTATGTATTAAAATCATTGATATCGTTCAATGTCAAAAACAAAATTAAATTGACTAAATCTACTAACTTAATAAGCATTTACTCCAAACTGTTACAACTTTAAAACAAATGAAGATGTCGTGATGAGCAAATCCTGTATGTAGTGCAAACAAATCCTAAGCCTCAAATTTTGCCAAGTTAAACCTCAATGTAACATGATTATTCAATATACAGTGATGGCTCTAGTGAGAAGAGAGGAAGGAGCAGATTAACCTCCTCCCCATAAATTTCTTATTTTGTCCTTAGTTATCCCACACAGATATTTTTATCTATCTTTTGTACAGTAAGAAAAACTTAAAAACTTAACATTTTTAAATTTTGAATTAAAGAAGCCCTTGTAAACACAATCATCATTAATTCATGTCAATATTTTACTGTATATAACTTACATATATTTAAATAAATTACCACTGCATCACATTACTACCATATATGTTACAACATATTTATAATATTGTCACTAATACTGAAGATGACATCACGTGATGTTGAAAGATGTTTATTTAAAAAAAGTCTATTGAAAAAACTCTATTGTAAACTATTTGAAAAATGTTTACCTTAGTTGTTTACTAATCAATAAGACTACAAAATGTACGCTATAGTACCTGTTCTTTCATAAGATGCCTAACTTCGAACTACAAAAATCTGTGGAGTGTTTAGAGCACAAGGATCTTTAAGACCACTAGTAAAATGTTTCTTCAGAATAGTGACCAGGGATATACCAGGCGGAAAGCGAATTCTTATTATAAATATTAAAGCCGAATTCAAGGATAAGTGGAATTCAGAAAGAAACTCCATGTCTGTATACTTTGTGATTGTATATGTTTTTGTTTCTTTCGTGATTTCCACTCATCACACTTCATACCATCTTATCCCACTTTTACTTTCACCTTTTTCATCCCACCATATAATTTAATATTATGTAAATAGCTATTATATATATAAATCCTTTTATACTTGTAATTCAATACTGTCTGACAATTGTCACAAATTGAAACTGTACATTTAGCGTTGTATCAACCCAACATCATGATGATAAATTTTATTTTAACCATTGAAGACAGAAAGTGAGAATTATTATTGTCCAATATTTTAATCAAGAAAATATTATTCAAAAAAATTTAATAACTTATGTCAAAATCGTAAAAGTTTTATTAATTTTCATCACAGTTATTGACATGACGTCATGATGATGTTTTTACATACGGGAATTTTTGAAAGTATGTAACATTTTCTGTCTTTAAGGTCATATGTACATAATAAACGTACGAAAATGATCTCTCACATTTTTCAATAAATGACCATAAAACCCAAATGGTGTTTTTATATATGTGAAATTTTAACAGCATACAAAACCTATTTCTACGATATCAAATTGTATTTACAGTTCTTGAAAGCATGTCTAAAGAAAGTCACTCTATTTATTCATCAAAATAATCTTCATCTGCAACAACACCATATTATCAAATAACTCACAATAAATGAGTTGTCGACATTCTTTCATTTCTATGTAGTGAGCGTCTTATTTATAATATTATATAATAGCCGCAAGAATTTAAACAATTTCATTAGTCGAGAGCTATGATCTATAAGAGGACAGACGCACGAAATTGAGGTAACAGAAAATTCCTTATTTTTAAATGACAAATGAATGGAGAATTTATTTGAATATTTACCTGAATTTATCCTTGAATGGGCAAATAAAGAAATTAAAAATGCCCAGTTGAAGCATTGGACGTATTTGAGCAAAAAGAAAAGAAAAAACTCGGTTTTTAAACATTGATTTGCACCTGCGGCTCGTTGCCACTCAGTTTTTATCACAATGACGTCATACCCGTGTATCTATAACTGTATAGACAACGGTTAAATGTTATCTATTTGTTAAATAAAAATAACCAAATTATCTAACCATACATTTTTATTAAAAAGTAAATCATCAACATGAAATTTTTTCAGAGGTACAATACATAATAATATGTTTTACAGAGAATCTTACAGTAGTAGTGTAATCTAGAGGATGCCCTGTTTAAGTGACAGTTCATTTATGAAGATTACAAGTAGAATCTTACAAAGAAATAAACAAATATTCATGCTCAATTAGTATTGAAGCGCTCTTTTCAAATACAAGTCATTTGTGTTATAAAAAGCAATTATACATCGTTTCAGATTATTGCAAAACATAGATAATATTTTACATTCTTTAATAGCAGGAGGTAAGACATTCCACGAAATAGTACCGATAAATTTTAAAGATCATTTGCAAAATTGGTCCAAATTTATTTCTGGTAAATATAGATAATTTCTTAAAGATTGCCTTGCAGAATAAGAATACTTCTTCTGTAGAAAACTGTAGTAGATGGAAACAAGCAATCATCCTTACGACCATCAACATCTATGTGCAATTTTCTCAAAAGGCTTTTGAATTTACTATTAAAGTGTGAGTTGACCTATTTATTCAGGAACATTAAGTTTTAAAAATTGAATTCTGCAACTTAAACTGTCAACAATAGCTAAAGTTCCTGTTTTGGAATGCATAGTTATATTAGGCTTAAAATAAAATGCACTGTAAAATTTAGCGCATACTTTACCACTCTTTAAATCTACAGCAAGCAATGACTCACCAAACCTTCCAATGCAATAAGATTTGTGTACGATTAGGTTGGATTCCAACAAGTGTTCTCTGAAATAATGCAAAATCGCATTCACATCACCATTCTCATGAACATTAATAATAACATAAATGACCTTATGTTCGTAGCGTTTCAAAAATGTTATGACTGCTTGTTTACTATCACTTATAAAGCATTTGAACTTTAGATTATTTACAGTTATCTGTTCAAATGTTTCAATGACAGCTGTTATGGGTAATTCTGCAGTATGCCAAGGTTTCAAGTAAAGTTCATAGTTGTTATTTCCCCATTTCCATAATGTGTATTCTGTTTTGTTTACAGTTAAAATAACAGAATTATCAGGTGATACAGCTGCTGCTTTTAATTTTGAACTATCGACAGGAAGTCTTTTGTTGTATTGTATCTCACCCTTGGTAATTCTTACAACTTGAACAAATTTTTCTTCTTTAGTACAAACTAAGACATCACCAAATGTCAAGATTTTCTGAGGTTTAAATCCAATGTTAACATGCTTTGCTTGAGTAGAATCAACAAAATTTTCAGACGAAGTTGATATCTTCATAAAATGATCAGAACCATCCCATATCCACAGTAAACCATCTGACCACCAACACCCTAATGCATCCTTCAGTTGCATTGGTACAGTTTGAATAATAGTGCAACGTTCAATGCTCCAAATATGAATGTTGACGTGGTCACCAACAGCGAAAGCAGCAAAAAAAAATCCATCCGGTGAAAAACAACAACATTTAATTTCAAATTTCTCAATGATAAATGAAGGTCTCCAAAGATGATCAGTTTTGAAAATGTTAAGCTTGGAAAAATACGGCACAACGTAAAATTCCTTAAACGAGATTGGATGGACTTTGTTAAGAGTCCTATAAACACATTGACACCAAACATTTGGTAAATGAAACACGATTTCTCCTTGATCGTTGTATTTTGTCAACTGAGTGATTTCAGAAAGCTTTCTGTTCTGGTTTGAATGATAAAAAATACAATCACGATAATGGTGTGTTGTCATTGAATTTGAAGATGGTGAATACTCATGTTTACATGAAAAAATATCGATTGCCTTTGGAAATTGAAAAACATACGAAGTCTTGACTAATTTTTCAACAAAGAAGTCCGAAAATTTATCGGTGCATTGTAGTTTTTGGTAATCAACAACGCAGCGTCGATCGATTCTTTGCAAAGTTAATGAATTCCAAACAGTGAACTCATCGTCAGGAAAAATTTCATATACTGCTGTAATAAACAAACCAGAATCTAAGAAAGAGCAACGATTAACGACATCATCTGACTGTAAACATAATAACAAACGTCCATTGTTAACGTCCCACAACTTTACTTCAGTTGATCCATCACTAGTTACCAGTCTATTTCCGGTGGGTGAAAAGGAGCAACAACAGATGTTTCCACGTACAAAACAAATTTCATTAATGTGAATAGTCATATTTGTCATACAGGGACATAAATTTGTTTACATCATCTACATCATCCCATTATCCAACCTTGAATCATCGAGTGCAGTGCCTAGAGTGCATCGTTGCTCAAATTCAGGAAGCTCAAAAATAGATATTTGACCATTTTCATATCCTACAGAAAGAAGTTCTTCATTGGACGACACACAAAGAGACGTAACGTTAGCACGCAAAGAGACAGTCAAATGATGATGGTTTGTTAAATATGTTGAGTCTAAGTCCTCAAACCAAACAAATTTTACTTGTTTCAATAATTCCCTTGCCGATAATCTTCTTTCGTTATTTCCATCAATTCTGTTTGCAATAATTTGTAAATAAATTAAGCTATCATCAAACCAATATATCTTATATTCCGTGTCATAAACAAATGAAATAGTAGTTCCTCAAGTACATCTTTTCTCAAAAAGTACGTCGTTCCTTAATGATTTCAAACAATTCAGACCTAATGGTATTCATGTAAATGTCTTCCACACCCATTAACCTCGCACAAACCACTTTGACATCTACTGCCCAGCTAAAGTCAACATTTTCGCCACATTCTATCATATGATAGATTCCATTCTTCAAAGCATATTTAATCATAGCAGTGTTCATCTGATCTTCAAAATGTTCATCGACTTAATTTGTTCAAACACTTTCTCACAAGCATGCCATAAAAACTTATGACCATTTTTTGGATTAACTGTAAACTCATGCTGTTCGTAACCATCTGATTTCAACCAATCAATGAGAGATTTGTGATACACGGTTAAACAATCATCGTAAACTGGCAAAATTTGAGATAACGATTCAATGATTTTACTGCGGACTTCAAACTTGATGTCACCAGAAAAACCTAAATAGCTAAACAGTAAAGTTAATGGTAAAAACTCCCGACAGGCAGCCAACAATTCAAGAAATCGCATAAAAGAAGTTTCTGAGATAACAGAATTTCTGGGACTTTCCTTCGTTAACAATTCTTTTGCTCTTTTGAATTGCTTTGCGTAAACACCGTTTAACCCACTGGGGACCAATTGTAGAATGTCTTTAAAAGTAACTTCAATATTTTCTTCTTTCAAGCTCATTTGTGCGTGATAAGCATAAAGAAATGATCCCTCACATCTATAAACTAATGTTTCAAGAACGTTGTGATTTCTCTGCACCCGATCATTCAACTGATTTTTCAAATACTTTAGCAGGTCTTCTTCGTTGTTTATATCACGAGGATGAGTTGTAATTTCCACAGGATTCATGTCTTTCAACTCCTTTTGAACAGGAAGTTCTGGACGACTGGTGATGAAGATTTTAATCCATTTAGGCAGTCGGTCAAACTCTTCTGAAATCAATTCCAACAATTCACTTTTGCCATCAACTTGGCTTTCATCTAAAGCATCAATAACCAAAAGCATTGGTTCATGATCTTCCAATGAATGCAATGGATCATTTAATAAAACACGGAATTTATCGGTGATAGATTCTTTGGAATGGTTTCTCTCTAATTCTTCATTCAGTTTACTTTTATAATTTGATATTGTATCACACATGCTACTAGCCAATGATTCTATCAATATTCGAGGTTTTCTATAATCTGATCTATTATATCTGCAGAAATGACAAGCAGCAAGTTTCTTCTTTTCAGAATATCGTCGACACAACTCAGCAGCAAACACACTTTTACCAACACCTGGACCGGCAATCAAAACCATGACATTAGAAGCATTTTCACTTCTATCGTTAAACCAAGTGTCGAGTTTTTCAAATAACCATTGTCTAGTGCCTTCAAGGTGTTTCTTGTTAAGATCTTTTATAAGACCGTTGAAATTACACTTTCCAAGCTTTTTGACATCTGAATATGTTTTGTCCTGTAACATTTTTTTCACTCCTGCTACATCAGCTTTTGTTTTCTTTACATCCTCATTTATGTTCGCAACTTTTGTTGCCATCTCTACAACATTTCTATTTATTACTTTTACATTTTCGTTGGTTTTCTCAGCAACATCGATTAACTTTTGGTCTTCTTCATACCATTCTTTTAACATTTCAATATGATTTGCCTCGGCGGTACTGAGGGGAGCTTTCTTTAATTCACCTATTTCAATTTGTTGAATACCCAGACCAACCAATGCTTTTGAAATTTCCTGCCACAAATCCTCAAACTCACTGTCATTTACACTAGTTGTAGTTATGTGACCATACACTTTGTTTCGATAAAACTTTATTCTAGCAATATTTGCTGAGACTAAGGTATCTGAAGAGGAAGGAAGACTATTCCATCCACCATGCGGCGCTTTTAGACCACATATATTTCGCAATAAGACAGTTAATAATGTGATGTCAAAGTTTTCAATGTCAGGGTCACCAACTGACGGGTAAAGAAGATCCCATTGCTCCTTCTTGATGACTTTAAATTTCAAAGATGTTAGTATCTTCTTTGTAGAGGGATCTTTAAGTTTACAAGCTAAACTTGCTGGCTTTAATAATGATTGCAATGTTATTTTTAAGGCTTGAGTTCCTTTATTGATTAAAAGTTTACTCAAACGAGATCCATTTTCCTCAATCTTTAATTTTTTAGGTGGCGAAGCCATTATTTATCCTAGAAATGGGGAATGAGATTGCGAAAAAGGGTATAATTTAAAATCTACAAAATGTTCGCAAAAGGACAAATTAAAAATAGTACTACAAGTCATTTATAAAGACTTGTGTTCTTGATTTCTTTCTTTAAATTAAAATTGTGTTCACTGCCTAGTTACATGACCCAGTAATTGATTTTACATCAAAGCATGAAAATAGTAGACTTGATACAATGAAAAAACACCTAAAATGAGAATATTTTCGCCTACTCGGTGCAAGAGGCAGCATATACCTTACGATAATAAATCCTAGTTAATAAATAATATATCTTATTTGTCTAACAATCGTGTGGTGAAGAGATACGTCGTTCTTTTAACAGGATATATCAAACTGGTTTGCTGTGTTGTATGAATATTTGCTTATTAAAATTTTGATAGGACTTTATTGCTAATGATTCTGTTCCCATTTAAATTTTTGCTAGACTGCAGTTTAACGGACACCCCAAGCGCTCGTGACCGCAGGCTCGATTTTGTTTGTGATTATAGGATAAGGTTTGGGTCAGCGTCCAAGGTGTCCGCTAAACTGCAGTAGTCCCCACAGGACCATAGCTTGACTCTACTCATATATTTAAATTCTTGGTCATTTTTGACAATCTGTTAGATCCAAATCGTCATCATTACTAATTGAAATGAAAATAAAGAAAACTATCTCCTATCTGCTTTATATTATCCTCACCAAAACACAGAACACAGGGTGAGAGATAAACATTGCGACATATGAATAAAATATAGAACAAAATACAAGTATGGACAGCACAGAGTATGAAGCTCCTTGTATTTTTTGCCCAAACGAGACAAATTTGACGTCTGTAATCACAAGTAAAGCGTATAAATGAATGATATTTTCAGCTGCAAGGTTTTGACTATAGTCACTAAAATAAAGTACAGATTATACGCTCTAAAGCAGGGGTCTCCAAACTACGGCCCGCGGGCCAGATGCGGCCCGTTAGGCCTCTCAATCTGGCCCGCAGAGACACTTGAGAAAAAATAATAATATCATTAAGCAAAATAAACTTTGTGCATAAAAGAAAAAGAAAAGTAGATGATGAATGTCGGCGATTTCAAGAAGAGTGAAGTGTAAAATACTTCTTCATCGCTCTTTGACGAGCGGTATACGGTTCGCCGGCCCTCGACATGCTCGATGAAAGTTCATGTGGCCCTCTAGCTGTAAAGTTTGGAGACCCCTGCTCTAAAGCATAGGTAATTGAAGAACAACATAAATTATGACTTTACTTAAAACAATTCTATTCGCGATCGTTCGAATATGCGACTATCACCGATGACACAGCCGAGGATATCACGACAAACAAACACTGCCTGCCTCACTGCCTCACTCAGACACTTTTTCAGCCTGACATAGTGGTTAGCCGCGCATGCACAGCGGCTACCCACAAAAATTAACTAGTGATAAATTATATTATTGTTATAATACAGTATAACTTGACGTCTACAACTGCTCCTCCCTAAAAAATGTTTTACTACCCCAAACTTTACATCTTAGCCACATGGCTGCTCATATTGATAACACTTAAAGCGTGATTTCGTTTGAAGATTCTACGAGAATTTCTAAAAACTTAACAATTGATGAATGTTTTATGTATGATGAGATAACGTAAGAAAAGTACAAATAATACACAAATCATTCATTACTTTTTCTATAAACTCCAATTTTGCAATTTTCAGATGTCCAAATGGAGATGCGCCAGCCCTTATATTACTGGCACAAGGCAAAATGCCCCCTTGCCTATTACCTCCGGGCCTGGCCTGACAATTAGGGAAATTTCTCGACTTTGTGTTCTTACACGATTTAATTCAAGTAACTAAAACAGTTAGACACGTTGGAAAACAAAACAAGTATCTTGATTTCAGTTTCTCAGTGTGCATACTAAATCAAAGTTCATCTAAGAATAAATTACGTGCAAAATGAATGATGATAAAATATGTACGTTATCTTGAGTTCATTTTGACCCCTGGAACCTAATTTTTACTTTACATTTGTACATTGTATTGTTTACTTAAGTTTAATTATATTTGAAAGGAGATGTCACATTATGACGTGCCTTTTGTGAATATCAAGCGCATCACTGACTCAGAATTATTTATTATCAAACCTTTTCTTCGTGTAAGAGCCGCAATTTTTATAGTGGATAATTTGAAACAAAAATGAAACCTACTTTCCAGTCGTGGTATTAAATATAGCTTTAAAAGTCACTTATAGAAACATTCAAACGATTTTCATTTGCAATGGAAACAAACATTCATTTGTTTATAGTCATACTTCATACTACGCAATGCTTTGGTATCAAATTCTATTAGCATCTACCGCAGAGATCCCAAAAGATACTACTCATGCGCACATTGGTCATTCTCTACCTTGCTCACCGCCATTACAGATGGCGTGTTTGGTCATATACGAATAATCCATAAAATAGTTTGCCATCCTGCTGTGTAGAACGACAAAACAGTTCTAAAAAGCAATACAGGACAAAACACCTACATAACCACTGAAAACTCTTTTTCTGTGGCTAGATAATCTATTCAGCGACAAATGGCACAAGTCAACGAAGCGATTGAGCAAACAGACGTTCTGACGCTCTTGCATAACCATCCTAACCAGATGCTGTCGGGCTTATTAGAAGACGTGAATGTAGACGATGAACCGTAACAGAAACGGTCTCGTCTACAAGGGAAAATGGGCAAATTTGGCGGGGCCGGATATAAGCACCCTGCTAAAGCCAACAACAACAATCTCCTAGAAGAAGGAAACGACGGGAGAACCACTTTGAACGACCTTAAGAGGAAAGTCGATCAACTTACTGACTTAATAAATACTTTTGCTCCTGTCGTAAAAGAACTCAAGCAAGCTTATGATGCCGCATGCCAAATGAACGATGGTGATGTTATGTCTGAATGTGAAACTGATGACGAACACTCAACCAACGGGGCTGCTGCTGTAGTTGCAGATACAGCTCCAGCTCTATCAAACCAAAGCAATGCTTTGGTAGATGAGCTGATTTACGAAGTGACTGAGAATGAACCGACAGACCAACCATTGCCAAATAAAATTTCTAAAATCCTGACCAGCATTTTGTCCACTGGGCTAAACGAACAAACATTATCATAACGGAAGAAAGAGGTAAAACGCCCCGAAAACTGTGACCTGTTAAGAGTTACAAAGGTGAACCCAGAAATTTGGGACATTGATAGGAAATCCACACGTAGCATGGATGCACGTCTACAAAAATTACAAGAAGCCTTAATAAAGGGACTCATTTCGATTTCCCGAATTGCGGGATTGATTAGTACCTCTCTTGGAACAAAGCCTACAACACCTGCATCGACACCAGAGGTTATCAGGGAGGGGCTGTCCACAACTATTGTGCTCCTCGCTTCAGCTAATCATGATCAGAACATGATCATTTGCAAAGCTGACCCCAACGACACAACTATTATGAAAACCAACCCAAGAGGAAAGTCGAGACAAGGGAAAAACACTAAAAAAAGTACTGACTCCTACTCTCTACCGTGTAAGTTGTAGTAAACGTGGGTGTAGTACTTCTATCATATCTGGAGGAGACAATGATTGTAGTATAGTTGCACGCCGGATATAACAATTTATTGGGAAGTGGAAGGAGCTAACTCACGATACTTCCATTTTATCAGCTGTAAGCGGATACAAGATTTATTTTCTTATAGACCCAGTCCAGCTGAAACAACCCCACTCTATAAAAATGTCTCCTTCGGAAGTTCAAAATGTCGATCGTCAAGTTACAAAATTTCTAGAGAAAGGTATCATTGTTACAAGCATGCATGAACAGGGCGAGTTTATCTCCAATATCTTTCTTAGAGCAAAGAAAGATGGATCGTTTAGAATGATATTAAACCTAAAAGGGCTCAACACATTTGTAACATATCACTACTTTAAAATGAAATCTATCCATACTTTACTCAGCTCGTGCGACCTGGTTGCTAGATGGCATCCGTTGACCTTAGAGATGCCTATTACTCAATACCAATACACATAGAGCATGAAAAATACTTAAAATTTATGAGGAAAAGTAATCTGTACCAATTCACATGCTTTGCTCAAGGATTATCTTCCGCTCCACGCTTATTTACAAAGATACTCAAGCCTGTATATTCTAAGCTGTGGGAGCTTAGGCACATTTCTAGCGGTTACATTGATGACTCTTTTTTAATGGGCTACTCCTATTCAGAATGCGAGCAAAACGTACATGAAGCTCTACAACTGTTTCAGAAGTTAGGATTTCTACCCCATAAAGATAAATCTGTTATAGAACCCACACATACTTTACAACATTTAGGGTTTGTGTTAAATTCAATAGATCTGACTATCGCTATATCCATAGAGGAACACAACAAGTTATGCGAGGTAGCCAGGGGGTGCTAAAATATAACTCTCATAGCATACGGGAAGTGGCCAAGCTAATTGGTATGATGGTAGCTTGTTTCCCTGGCGTTGAATATGGCCCACTGTTTTATCGTGATCTTGATGGGGACAAAACAACAGCCCTTAAGTCTAACAGAGGTAACTTTAATTCGACATTGAAACTCTCTCCTTCGGGGCTAGAAGACGTTTCTTGGTGAATTAATAATGCATATGAGTCCAAAAAACATCTAAATCATGGCAAGATTTACCACGTATTGTATACGGACGCCTCTACCAAGGGATGGGGCGCAAGTATTAACAAACAGTCCACCGGAGGCGAATGGTCAATCGCCGAAAAAGACTCGCAGATTCACTGCCTGGAACTCAAAGCAATACTGTATGGGCTACAGTCTCTCTGTAGAGATCTATCCCTCACCCACATTGAAGTAATGACCGATAATACCACGGCCCATGCCTATACTAACCACATGGGGGGCTGCCACTCTCACCATTGCAATAAAATTGCAAGGGAAGTATGGGCGTGGGGCAGAATCAGGGTCATATGGTTAACTG